GCGTTTGTCCGGGCACTTGAATGAATGATTTCTACTTTTTTTATATAAAAATGGCTTGCGCCCGCACAACTACATCCGCGTTATCATTATTCTTTTGAGAAACTCTCAGAACCTATAATTTTTCCGGGGTTAAAAACTATTTCAATCTAGGTGATAAACTATATTTATGCTCAATTCCATCCAAATACGTTAAGCTGTTTAAGCGTGGATGAGTAACAAACATCCATAAAACATTCACATTTTTAATATTATATTAGAAGGATTTATCTAAAGATTTTTATTGTGCCATCATACTGAGTGGAACAAAAAAAACGTTTTAGATAAAAGCTAGTCATTAGTGCATGATGTCACATAGCGCAGAGTTCTAACGATTTTTGAGCATTGTAAGGGTAATATGGTGTCCACCTCGCCCTTCCAGCAAGCAGAGTGCCGATGTGACTGGAATTGTAACAAGATACCAAGGCAGCACTTTTATCGGGTTCCAACACCGTATTATATCATTTTAATGTAATGTAATGAGTAACTTCGATAAAGCTACGGCATTTAGCATTATAACGGTGAAATTTATTGAAACCCCTTTTAATGGAAATTCTGGTTGTTATTAATACATAATTCACAACGATTCTAATTTACTTACACCAACCACAATAATACTTAGAAAATTATGTATTAATAACAACCAGAATTTCCATTAATATTTGTGATCTTATAAAAAGGTACGATTATAGGTTCACTATGTAGATATAGGTTCTATATGCCGCCGGCCAGCTATGATTAGCGACCGATATACAAAGAGTCTAAGAAATTGAAGTTTTGCATCAACCTCGAAGTGCCGTTCCAATAAATAAAACACTTATAACGATTGTAACTTCATTGAGTGTGTACTTAAACAGTATTAACGTACCATGTATGTTTTTTGAAATCACAATTGGAGTGTTCAGTTGTTCCTTTTTATTTGCAGCCATCAATGTTAATTTACAAATTTTGTCGTATCTTCTTTGCAATTTAATGTTTTATAAGTTTAACACATTATATTTACTATGTGATTTATATTATTCATATGTTGCATGCATATACTCATTTACCTTGCCAGTAAATAAATTATTCAAAAAGCTGCAACAGCTTCTTTCTAAAAGTAACATTTTTATTTATAATTATTTGGGATAACAAATAACGTTCACAATAATTATAATTTAGATCTATGTACATCAAGTATTGTCTTAATTAATTATTAATATAGTAGAATATCAAAGAAATCATAGTAATAATTTGATATTCTATAATTATTATATATATTAATAATAATATATATAATAACTAGCTGACTCGGCGAACTTCGTACCGCCCAAAAGTAATAATTTGCAATAAATTAAAATTGCGACTATAATTTGAGATTTAAACTATCCTATCTCTCAAGTTGGATCGAACTGCACATGGTGTGCGAATTTTATTATAATCGGTTAAGTGGTTTAGGTGTCCATTGAGGACAAACATTGTGACACAAGATTTATATATATTAAGATTATAGAATATCAAACTTCGTGATCGTCATTAATAAATCTTATTTAAAAAAATCTCGTGTCACAATGTTAGTTACCTTACTCCTCCGAAACGGCCTGACTGATTTATATGAAATTTTATATGCATATTCTGTGGGTCTGAGAATCGGCTACTATCTTTTTTTCATATCCTTAAGTGATAATAGTTGTCCACCTGTAACGTAGTGTTCCGAAACCTACAATTCGCCTTAGCGCCAAAATTCAAACTATTGGGTATTGTGTATATATATGTGTGTGTGTGTGGGATGCGTGCGTGCGCAGCTCTTCCCGACCAGCATGAATGTTGGAGAATAACTCGACGAAGGCTGAAACGCGTAGAGCGTCACGAGCGTCTCACGCGACAATATACATATGTATGTATATGAGTGATGCGTGCTCTGCTCCATTCTGTGCCTTATGCACCGCCTTTTGTTAGGTTATTTAAGAAAAAAAGTTTCACTTCAGATGTGATCCGTGCACACATTTTTTTTAATTCTTGTTTTTACTCATCCTTTACTACAACACGAATTAGTATCATTCGGGCAATTTCAATAATCAAAAACTAAAAAAAAGACATAGGTTTATATTATGCTAAATAAGCTAGTTTTTAGATTTTATTCCACTAAATGTCAAGATTTTATGTCAATCGTGATTGATCTTTTGTGATTGTAAAGTGATCTTTTCTAAAGTTTCATCTTATCTTCTTTGCAATTTACCTAATGTTTTATATGTTAAATACATTAATTTCCTGTGTGATTTGTATTATTCATATATTGCACGCATATACTCATTTACCTTACCAGCAAATAAATTGTTCAAAAAGCTGCAACAGCTTCTTTCTAAAAGTAACTTTGTTATTTATATTTATTTGGGATAACAAATGGCGTTCACTAAGCGTACATCAAGTATTGTCTGAATTATTGCGGCTTCGCGTTATCCTCGGATTAATCAAATATTTATACTCGTTTTCTTGCTTACCTAATGCACTGCCATATATTCACGATTTTATTATACAAACTTTATTCAGTTCTGTCCTAACTTTATATATAGAATTTAATGGACTACTTCGCTTTACTAAGTGAGGGAAAACGTTAACACTACCTCAATACACCGACACTAAGCTGGCTTTGTATAGTAAGCTAAAAATGGAAGAACCTCTTTATTCCGAGACACGTGGGATCTTAGCATGGAAATAGTTCTTAAGCACGTTATATAGTGCGGGAGGACGGTAGAAAGAATTTCCTGTTACACTTTTCAAAAGCCTACTTTGCCCCAGTTTCTAAAGTTTACTGTACATGGGAAATGCTTCAATAACGGATTTGCAGGCCTTGCAGGAAAGAACCTATTTTGGCTTAGTAGAGTAGAATGTTGCCGTACAACTATTGAAATTGAAATATGGAATTCTATTAAAAAGACAAGGTTCAATTTCGCTTGCAAGCTAATGCGTCATTTGAATAAGTGCTTACTTTTGTACGAATCTGCAAAAAACAACTTGTGAACTGTTATGTATGTATATACATATGTAGATGGCTGCGACCACTGTCGTGTCTGTCAAATAAAGCAGTGCGTAACTAGCATCGGCTCGTTTCACTTGTGCACTACCCAGTCCTTATATTTAACATTGGCGACGAGGATGGGATCGCGCTACCTACATTTGTTTTGTCATGGACGGTGACAGTATGCCGGTTACCTTAAATAAGTTAACTTTTTAAAGTAGATAACCAAGTATTGGAGCTCCATTGTTAGTCTTTGTATTTAAAAAGTTACAGAAGCAAATGAAAAGATAATTGTATTTGTTTTTAATTAAACTTCTGATAGGTCTTAAATTCTCCTCTGTCAAGTGAGAGGAAACATAAATAGGTAGGATTCAAGATTTCTATCGATATGGAAAAGAAAATTAAGCAGCTAAATGTTTACATACCAGTCTTGAAGTAACTGTACTATACAGAATATACCTTGTGTATTAAATTATGAATTATAGCTAACGCTAGTAATAAACAACGCGCCGTGTCCTTAGAACAAACCTCCGATTTGTGAGTTTTGCGGTCCACACGTTGATTTTTGCTCGGTTTAGAGTAAAACTTTCGAGTTTTACCGTATGTGATTACAGACCATTAAAATAAAATGGAGTGAAAATGACAGTTTTGAGAATGTGGCGTTAATATTCGATGCGATATCCATACGATCTAAATATGATTTAAAAACCGACAGATACTGGGGATATCTTGATTATGGTAGTATCTTGACTGATGATTCTGAACCCTTAGCTATGGAAGTATTAATATTACAAATAATTTCCTATACTACAAAATTTTAATGTCCTATTGCATACTTTTTATCGAATAACTAGGTGCTGATGTTTGAACCCAGTTCGAACCAGCAGCCGTCGAAACTTATGTGATATTTGATATAAATATTATAGTTAAATCTATCACTCGCGGTGTTAGGTACCATTACGAAATTAACAGCTTATGAACAGTTAGAATCTAATTTATTTTACATTACCAGACATAAAAACTTCTTTCACACATCCACAAAAATATAATAAAACCAAAATAGGTACTTACGATGAGATACAAGCATAGATATAGTTACTTCTATGGATACAAATACAAGGGTCTGAATGTTAAACCTTATCATCCTGATTTTAGATCCTTAAATTATTCTGTAAAACCTATAACGATATCAGAGTATCCTGAGAAATCTACGTTGGGCTCCTTCTATGCGCTCCTCATGAACATTGTAAAAAGATGTTCAAATGACGGTATTAAATTTGAGAAAACTTTAAAACTATAAATACCTAAATTGGACTTTCAGTTTATTTCAGTAATGGCTTTTAAACAGTGATCATTTCTGTTACTGGGTACTGCGAGTATGTCAGGTCCACTGCCGCCGCCGTTGAGAGTTCTACAGCCATCAATGGGTTATGCAATAGCAGTATTTTGGGGAGCTTGGTATTAAAATACAAATTGTCACAAACGTTAATGACAGTGACTGAATGTCATTAGAAAGAGAATTCCGGCTCAATATTCAGTCTCTTTTGGTCCATTGAACAGTGAGCATTCCTGTTACCATTATGTGTATAACTTCCTTGCTCACCTGAAAAGTGAGTCTGTGTTTACAGAATAGCACTACTGGACCCAATAGATAACGCTGTAGTCGGGTTCTATGATTTTTTATGTCTGTTAACAGATAACATGTTCGTACTTTTCAACGTGTGGTGGGTCCGCTATGGTATGTATGTACCTATACATATTGCCTATTATAAATAAACGGTATTCGTTCAGCTTAGATCAGTTACTTTATGTTTAATTATGTCTAATGTCACTTGAGTGATATGAACAAACGGCATAACAGCAGGTGTAAGCTAATTCCTCATTAAAAAGGGGGATTACGTTTATCATTAAATGGTTCAGTAATAAATAAGCATTTAAGTAACCAGTATATTTTTGTTTCATGCAGCTCCAAATCTGCGAGACCGATGGTATAGAGGAACTGAGCGACGAGGAGTCCCCGAGCTGCGGACAGCGCCGCCTTGTTGTTGTCAAAACTCTTTGGCGCGGCTGCCATAGCGACGTCAAGTGAGTACCAACACCAAACTTAAATTTTAATTTGGTTGCCTGCATAGATGAATGATTGGTCTCGCTTCACTCGACGAAGCCGAACCAATCATTCTTGACATCTATGGTTGCATGATTCAAAAACTCTTTTGAATTCTTACCTTCTTAGAATTTCCTAATTTCAATTCAAAATAATTCTCAGTTGAATTTTCATTGAATTTGATTCCTATTTGTTTGCATGATACATTTTTTTTTATTTCTTAACTTCTTAACGTTACCTCATATAATTCAAAAGAATTCTCAGTTGAATTTTCATCCAGTTTAAATCCTGGTCAGCGCATACAGGGTGGCCTGGTCAGCGCATACAGGGCGTTCCAGGGCCATACCACATGGAGGGAAAGTATATAAAATATAGAAAATAGATAAGATAGATATTTTACTGAAAGAAGACATCGTTTTATTTTTAATAATAAGTAGAACTGCATTCACAGATTTTTTTAAATCGCCTGCCACAACCGGGAATGATACTCGTGAAATGTGAAAAAAACACACAACGTATTTTATGATAACCATCGAAAGGGTTAATATTTTCATGATCCATTCATCCATTTAAAATGCTGTCTTATTTAGGTATATCATTACGACAGAACTAATTCACATTTTGAACGCTAATTTTAGCTGAATCTTCGTCGCGCAGGCGTGGGAGAAGCATGACGGATCTGCTAGTACATAATAATTGGTAATTAAACAACTTACAGGGCCGCGTTTGCCCGCGAGGCGACATGGGGCGCTGGATTGAAGCACCCTCAACTAGCCAGGGTGCTAGGTTTGAGTCTGCTCGAGCCCCCGTGCGCAGCGCTAGACCGCGGCGATGCCGTTCACCTGCCTACGATATTGAGACTGGACAGGAAGTTGAAGTAAGTCTAAATGAAATATAATTATTTTAAAATATCAGTAACATTAACTTATTTCTGTTATATTTCTCAATTTTCACCCCATCATCTTGATGCGGGTATCCAATCCTATATTATATACTATATTATCGAAATTTCTTACAATAGAATTATGGAATTTATTGTCGCCAGCAGTGTTCAAGACTAATACAACTTGACAACGTTTAAATAAGAGCATTCTCTTATATTTTCAGTTATTCGAGTTTAATTCACATATGTTGCCAAATCGCCGCCGGTATGAAGTATCTAGAGTCATTCGAGCTGGTTCACCGAGACTTAGCAGCACGGTGAGTTGAAAAAACATATCTGTATTGTTAAGAAATAATGTACAGCTAACATCCTTTGCCGATGTCGACTCAATTATCCAACCGTAAAGCTCAGACAACCTTACACACACTGTTGGAGCTTCGGATCGATGTAGAACATCAGTAGAAATTTAGCTGCAGCCTTCTGTAAGGTGAAGGTCACATCCCCAGGAATAGACATGATGATAGGGTAAAGTAAACGAAACTGTATTTAGTCCGTCAGTAAGATTATCAAAAAATAATGGACAAACATTTTTCTTTTATCAATCAACCAAAAAAACTACGAAATTAAATTATAAAACTCGTCAAAGTTTGGAAGTGGGAGCATGTGACGTCATTTCTAAGTAAAAAATGTACCAAGACGTGACGTCATGCGACATTTCAAATCATATTTATTCATGTAATATTTTTAATTATATGTATAAATAAAAAATATGTTTCCAATACTTTTTGATAAAACGTGTCATCATCCCTATTATTTATACTAGCTGTGCCCCGCGGTGTTACCCGCTGTTTATTAGGGATATTTTCCCGCATTAAGCGTAGCCTATGTGTTAATCCAGAGTATCAGCTAACTCCACACCATTTTTGTTTTAAAATCGCTCTATACTTCGACTTTTTATTAGCTGCAGTAAAATGACATTTCAAAATGTCATTCCGTAAAATAATGTTGACCGCCTAATTTCAATAGGGATGTGATTAGGTTCACAGAAAATGTAATCGTTCCATTACTAACTCATAATGTATACTTAATTCAATTAATAATCATACTTAATTCTTTTTATTATTCATATAAATAAAAGGCTGTATAAAATCTCAAGTTGGTACTGGTTTTTAGTTACGGTGCTACGATGAGGCTTGTCCACCATTTGTCATTCGCTCATTCGGCTTCTAACTTCTGTTTTGAGTGCACGAATAACTTTGCTTTGCCCACTGCGAGTTGTTTTAGTTATCATTAATTTTTTGTTACGTTATGTTTGTTTTTCGTTACCTACTTTTTCTTAATCGTGATGATGATGATGATGATGAGTTGATGCTCAGTTGAGTATATCACAAGATGGAGATACATTTCTATCTCCTAAGAAAAAAAAGGCCACGTGTAGCTCTAAGTGCCACCGAGAAACTTTGAGTCAGAAACGTTTACAAATATGTGTTTGAAGTGAAATCTACAGATTCAAATATTAAAGTTCCAAAAACAAGTGAATGCATCAACAAGGTGGCTGAAGTCTTGGGAATATCCTTCCGCACTGTTTATTTTGTTTTAAAGGAGCACAAGAAGAACGACTGTAAAGGTATCAGGCTTTTAAGACTGCCCCCTTATCACTGTGAATTGAACCCCATCGAGTTGGTTTGGGCTCAGGTATAGGGGCACGTCGCAAACATTATTATAACATATAAAATGCAAGAAGTGAAAACTTTATTCCAAGAAGGAATCAACAAAGTGACACCGGTTAAGTGGAGTGACTGTGTGTCTAACACTATAAAAGAGGAAGACAAAATGTGCCAACTCGATCATATTATTGATGAAATGACAGACAGGTTTGTCATTAGTGTGACCGAAAGCGACAGCGATAGTGATTCCGAAAATATTTGATTAATAAATAACATTGTTATGACTTTTTGTTTAATTTTGGATGTACGTCCCGATACTTCCAATGAAAAAGATCAATCCTTTACTATAGTAATAATAATAGAATAAAAAATCATTACAACTTAATATTAAATCTCTTAAACAAAACCATACTGATCATTCATTTATTGAATGATTCACTTACTCACTTAGCTACATCCCTATTTATTTTTCTTCAAAAAGCGGTAACCCACAATACGTCATTTTACTGCAGCTAATAAAAAGTTCTACTTTAGCTGTTTAGACGTGAAGAAGTAACAAACATACACACTCACAAACTTTTTCCTTTATAATATTAGTGTGATTGTCATCATTGTCAGGATATAAATGCCCCCACTGCTGGGGCGCAAGCCCTTCCTTAAGAGCGGAATTGGGAAAGTACGAGCGTGGGCCCAGTGCGGATTGATAATAAATTTTGGTCACCCATCCTATGACCGGCCACTGCGAAAGTTGCTTAATTTCTGCGATCGCAGTCCGAACACGCTACGCCATTGCAATATCCGTAAATAATATCGTCTACGATTCAATACACATAAAAACCTGATTATGGCATCATATCTCTTAGTAAAATTTAAACTTAGTCGACATTACTGCAACCGCACCACTTAATCCTTGTGAGAAATTTTAAAGCAATAGAGATAATGAGCCTCAATGTGCTCAAAAATATTTAATTTTGAATTAAGAATAGTTAATTGACATGTGTGTGTGCGTTCATTAGAAAAGATGTAGGTGTGACATACTGCCGAACTCAAACTAAAGTGCAACTAAGTGACTTGTGCATCTATACAATATTTAAATTCGTTATCGATCTGTCTTTAACAAGTATTCGTGTAATTCGTTTAACAAGTAATTAATGGTTACATCACAGCAATAATTTAAAGTTTACACACTGTTTTTTGGCCATATCACAAAAGTTGGTTTCGTCATTTAGCCGCGTTTTAGCGGACGGCAGCATAGTAAACATGCAAAAATAAAGGTGTTTCTTCGATGTCTATTTTAAGATAGTTATGACATCTGCAGAATACATACCTATTTCTTTATTTATTATTTATTTTATTCTTCTTTACCAAAATACAGTAAATGGCGGACTTAATGCCATAGGCATTCTCTACCAGTCAACCAGTAAGGGTGATAATAAATGGCGATAGAGTGCGAGCTACTGAAGTTATAAAAACATATAATATTATCCTACTTAACTTAAACATACTATAATAAACGATAAATATATATATATATATATATATATATATAATAAACATAAATATAAATATTTCTTTGAAAATCATAATAAAATTTTTTCTTTGTCTGTTACTTTAAAACATCATCTAGTTAGTTTGGGAGATCGGTTTTAGTAAAATAAAATCTGACAGGCAAATGCTTCTGTTACCACACGCGGGGTACCTTCATGATTACTGGCTAACTCTCTTGTGGTTTGGGTACATTAATAATAATTGCCTAGTACCTGTATACGGGATCATGACATCTATGATAAATAAGCAACATCTTCATTTGCCTTCCACTTATACTACTCATTTAATAACGAAGGCAACACGTGAATAATAATCCGAATACGTCTTAGGTAATCTTTCTGTGAATACTGTTTAAATTTAAAAACATTTAATATTAAATTGACAAATCCTCTAAAGACTTCCGAACAGTTATGCTTCGAAGAAATCAGTCATAATTTTTTCCACTTATTGTTGTTCATATAACGTAAATTTCAATCAAAACTTGTTATAGTTGTATTTATGGTTCCATCATCAAAATTCTGAGTAACTTGTACTCATTTGTAATTAAAAAAAATGTTTATAAACAAAGCCTTTCCTTCGGAGCTTTTAGTAGGTAGGTAGTCGGTAGGTTTTTTTAACCGTTAGTCAAGTAACTCAAGTAATCCATCTGATAAAACCTTTTTTTCTTCAATAACTTATTGTCAAAGAGAACAAGCCCAGTTACGCGTCATTTCGAGCACTAACTTAACAATCTTTACTACTAAATACTTACTAAGCAGTTTTTCAGAAGCAATTACGTTAGGTTACCTCGCCGTACCAGATATTGCAGCACTTTGCATATTTTATCTACACTTACTGGACCACTTATTTTTTTATTCAACTACAGCGGAAGTTTGACCAGTAGTGATTACAGATTGAAGGAAATAAAGGGCTTAAGCCCAGAAAGGAATCAGAATATAACCATGGCAATTTTGATATTTTTTTGTCATGGAAGGCAGGTGCGGTCGCAGCCTGAAATTTTGGAGGGAGTCACTCACTACACTAATAAAAAATAGGTATCTGGAAGAAAATAAACATTATTCCACAAGACACTTTTTGACACAAGATTTTTCAATTTGACCTTAGATTTGGGGGGGGGGGGGGGGGGGCTTCGGACCGCGCCTGATGGAAGGACGGGTAAGCGTTCTATGATAAAAAAGTCTCTATCCTATGTCTCACTCCAGATCATAAACTATATGCGTTCCAAATTTCATCCAAATCCATTCAGTAGTTTTTGCGTGATTTTGTTACAAACATACAAACTTTCACATTTATAATATTAGTAGGATAAATTTTATTTCAACGTTACAGTGACTGAGGGTATTGACTTTATTTTATCATGTTGTTCTGGCACCCATCAGTTAACACTCTCGTTCTCCCTACGTCATTTTGTATAAAGTAGATATGCTTTGCCCCACCAGATGGAGCATTCAAGACTGATGACGATCCCTACCTATTTATATACTTCCATTTATATTATTTCAGAAACGTAACAGTGACTGAGGACTTACACGTGAAAGTGGCGGACTACGCAATGTTCTGCGAGGAGTTCGTCGGGGATTACCACGTGATGGCAGACGGGTCACGTTTGCCACTTCGCTGGATGTCCTGGGAGAGCTTACTGATGGTAATTTTATCACTATACCGGTATACTCAAACCCATGAATTATACTTAAATTGCCAACCTAACTTACCGGCTGGCTAGCCCATTCAACACGTTTGACTTTGGAGACCACTTCTTGAAATGACTGCCTCCATTTCTGGTTTTGACCACTTCTGCTTAAGACTTCCTCGAAATATAACTGTTTCTGGATTCAACAATTTCGTTTTTCGTCTACCTTTGGTACAGTGTGCAAAAGGATAAACTTATATAGTATCGTTGTGACTTGAGATTCGATGAAACGAAATTAGTGATGCAGGCTTTACTATTGAAGTAAGTTTTTAGGATTCCGTAGTCTTGACCCTTATAGTTTCGTCATGTCCAGTTGTCCTTCCCCGGTTTGGCTTGGTGACTATTAGCACTAGAGAGCTGTGATTTTTTGGAGATATATGTATATCGACCACGTCGACAAATGGTAGAATAAAATTTTGAAAAATATTTTTTTAAGGTAGCTCGCCTACATGTAACCTGGGGATGATGTTTCAAGTCAAACTTCTTTACGCACGCTTGACTTGGGGGGTAAGCTGGCGAAATTACGCGTTAAGAAAAGTGTGTTCGGGCGAGGTGAACGGAAATTGAGTGGGGCATATGAGCAAGAGATAGCAGTGCGCGCGCGCATTTTGTTTCTCTCTTTCTCTTATGTAAATGTATAAGCAAATGAAATATGTAATTGTACATACATGTGTATATTGTACATACAGAAGGAGCTTTAAGTGGCTCTAAGATCTTAGTGGTGAAACCGAAATTATTATAAAATTCCACATGCTGAAGTTATTTTACAGGAATTTCAATGAAATTTAATTTAAAATTACATTTTTAAGTTTAATTTACAATAATAATGATAAAAAGTAGATAATTTTTTTTTTAATGCTTTAATCGTGTTTCAATGATTTGTAGCCTATCCGCATTGGAAGGCAAATTACAACAAAAATAGGCTCATTAAGTACTATTTTTTTTCATGTTTTTTGGTAGTAGAAGTATGCGGAGTTTTTAATTTTAGCCAGAAGCTATGGAAACTCCTTTTTATACTTTTAAATTGAAGTTGAATGTTTGAGTAAATCCTACTAAAACTAAAGTTTCAACTTTCAAGTCATTTTTAAGTAACTTTAAGTAATTTGAGGAAGCTGAGTTATTTTTTTTTTATTAAAACAACATTCAAGACAATTACCTATGTCACAAAAAAAATACTGCTCAATACCTACTACGAAAAAAGATATGAATGTTTGAAACGTCGCTGGCAGAAATCATTAAAAATACACAAAAAAAAATATAACTCCAAAACTAAGAAAAATCGCGGAATATACATGGGGTATTTTCGGATACCCACAGGTGCGAGGAAACTAAAAAAAATTTTTTGACGTCACTAGTTGTATAGAGTTACGTTATATTAAGGTTGCACTGTATTTACTGAATCAGGATTTGCATCAAATTAGGTATTCTAAAGTTTATTAAACCTTTAATATTTTAGGGAATGTACTCCCCGGCGAGCGACGTGTGGTCATTCGGAGTCACGGTGTGGGAAGTCCTGACTTACTGTCTCGTAAAGCCGTTCGATGAAATGAACGATGACCAGGTGAGTAAATAATACGATTACATTACTGCCACTGGAAAAGTATCAGCTCTTTTATTTGCTGTGTAAGTATATAAATGGTTGATCTGTTAATTTATTTTTGATCTTGAGTCTTCTGCAGCATCAAGCGAAAGTTGCCGTAAAACGCAATTGTGCCGATATTTTTCAAACAAATTGCAGCAACCGTCGGAGCCGGACATACTCGTATTTTCATCTTGTAACATTTTATTGTATCTGCGGCAAATGAAAATTGCAGTGCACGACAGAATATGGAAAATAGTTCATTATTCGATCATTGACTTAAGTTCATTCCTGCCCTACCTACAGTAAAAAGATTTTCTTTGTCATTCGTTAACAAAAAATGCTTCGATACTAAAATTAGATGTCGCCTGAACTGTAAAAACAATAAGAATTAAATAAGAACCTCCGAACTCATAGTAACTTTCTAATCGAAAGAGTTCCACAACCAGAAAAAATTTAATGACAACAAAAATTTATATATACTTAGGTGGTGGCAAACGCTAGCGAGTGGCGTTGCGGCGGTCGGAACGCCTGCGTGCCCGCCGCGCCGCCGCCGCGCTGCCGCCGCGAGCTGTACGACCTCATGCACGAGTGCTGGCGGCGCGAGCCCGCGCAGCGCCCGCGCTTCCACGACCTGCACCGATACCTCGACCGCATGTCGCACGGGTACAAACCGCCTAACAACCGCTAAGCTCGCCGCGCACCTAACCACCTAGCTACGAAGTGCACCCGCTAATCAGTCCACACAATCCAATTATTTTAAGAAAAAGTAGTTAATATGCAGTATAAAATATTTAAAATTTAATAGTAAGCCGACAGTAAACTAACCATAAGTTACTTAAGCTACTTTATGTAAATGTTACGTCAAATTCAGGTTAAACATACCCTGAATTTCAATTTGAGGTGGAAAGCATGATTCGTGTGAATTTTATTATCAGATCAGACGTATGATATATTCAATTTGTATGGTCGCGCTTAAATATGTTGACGCATATTCGAGTATTGTAAGTACGCGATGTGTAAGTACCTTCCTTTACAGGAAAATGTACTAGTATTCCAAAAAACTACTAGTTTTCGTTTTTAATTTAGTAAAGTTAACCAAAACATAATAGAACTAACTTATTTCTTCTATTCAGTTGTTTGTGACAAAATGTACCTACTACAACTTGTAGTAAGTATTTAACTTTTTTAACTGGGCATATTGATTTTACTTAATTGTATGCACTGTGTAGCTTAGAAAAACATATGACCAGTATTTTTGAAGTTATACTTCTTTAGGCGCGTTATGAAAAAATGATGAGAGTGAAATTTTAAGATGCGCGCGCATCACTGTAACACAAAATTTCAACAGCATGAAGTTGGTCGCTTTAGCGACTGCATTGTGAAGGCCTATCAAAAGTATTTATTAATCTGGAACAACGGAACCAAAGCGCGATTCAGGAGACTACAGCGCCATCTCTTGACCATTGGTGTAGTAGAACCAAAAACCACATCTTTATTTTTTGTAATAAAGTAACAGTTATAGGTATTCATATTTATAATATCAAAAGTATTTATTAATCTGGAACAACGGAACCAAAGCGCGATTCAGGAGACTACAGCGCCATCTCTTGACCATTGGTGTAGTAGAACCAAAAACCACATCTTTATTTTTTATAATAAACTAACAGTTATAGGTATTCATATTTATAATATTTATCCACATGTTTCTAGTTTGTATATTCGGAATACGTGTTTGAGTATCATACAAGTGCAAATCACATATGTTCTAATAAATTATATTCAGTAGCGATTTTAATTGAATATTTTGATTATTTATTTATTTTTTCAAATTAAAACTGAACTTTATTGACTGAGGCCTTTTCCAGACTTTTTATTAATTTATTGTAATTAATTATTTGCATGCAATTAAAAACTAATTTTAAACGATGCCAAAGAAGGATAACTTCTCACGCGCCTACATAAGTACCCGCACCCATTTTGTTATTTCAATTAAAAACTTATGTAGATTTATTATTGATGATAGAAATACTAAAATTACGGTATTTAATTCTCAAAGCGGATCTGACCAACTTAGTTTTTGAGTATTTTAGTATAATTGAGTTCTTGTCGGCGATGTAAATAGGTGTAAGATATTATAATACCATGGACAATAATGGACGCAGTATTTGAGATGACTACTTATTTAAAAATAGTATGAAACATACATTATGTTCTACATCAGCATAATGAAGTTAAACATAAGCGAGCGTCAACGGAACTTAAAGAAAGTACATTATGCAACTTGGAGCAATTACTCGCTTACTGTTCATTAGCTCGTATCTCTAAAGAAAACCATATATGTACCCTGCCAATATTTCCATCATTGCAAAAGTAAAATCTCTATCAAATGCGTATAAATAAAGACTTGTTTAATCTTAGGTATATCATAAAGTCGATAAAGAGTGTGAACGATCTAGGTAAGAAACTAAATTTAGAGAATTTGACAAACTGTACCTTTTTAAAGGTACAATTTGTCGAACAAAATAAATATGTTATATGAATAGAATAATATTTAGTAAGTCACTAGAATTTATCTATTTAATCTTTCATTATACATAGCTTAAGTAGGATATATGTGGCTTCACCATGTCCTAATTTTCACTGAATAAAATTGAAAATTGGGCATGGTGGATCTATTAACTTAACTAGATGTCATATTTTATTATTATTATTATCTAAGCTTCTAAATATATTTAGAGCTTCTTTTCAGCTTTTGCTTTTGTTAGTTTCAAAGATTTTCTTTTAAATTTTATTTTAAGCTACTCACCCCTATGCCCATGCTACTTAACAGTTACCTTCTTAGACTTACTTCATTCATTAATAACAAAAGGTTTTCCAGCTGAAAAAATATTTGAACAGCGGTTCAATAAATATATGGGTCTAGCCTATAACGTAACAATTACGAATTTAAATATTTTTTTATAATTATGGTATATCAGTGTATTTTAATACAAAATTAAGATGAATACTATTAAAGACAATCTAGTTTCACTGAAATGAAATTCACAGAAAATTTTAATAAATATATTTATTATATTTATTTATTTTTTTGTATATTTTAGTTATTATATTATATTTGTTAAGGTTCATTGTTCCATAGAAATAATAAATTTTAATTTCTTAACATTCTCGTAATTTGAGGCATCTATTGTGAGTGCGTTTATAATCCTAATTCGTAAACAATGGGGCACAGATTATTTTTTTATTAAAGACAATTACGTAGGGACGCATTGATTTTACCGTTTAAAAAAAACAATATAACGTTTATTTACAAGCTAAAATTGAATAGATAATATGTTACATTATTATCGCAACTTGAAATAGAGCTGTAGGTCCGAGTATTATTGGAAGTTCTTATTAACTAAACGTGGCCACATTCAAGAATCGTAAACACTTAATTCATATTAAAAGTAAAGTTGCTGTTATTTTGTACATATAATTACAATAATATAACAACAATTGTTGATAACACGTTTGGCAGTGATACTGCTTTTGAAACAAGAGAGTAGTTTAAAAAAACATGTTCTCCACTAATACTGCTTTTAAAACATTATAGACATTTCAACAAGTTTGCCGTTTGATACTGCTTTGTAAACAATAGTCATTTAAGCACGTCTACTAGTGATATTGCAGCAATTTGGAGAAAACAGAATTATAACGTAGAGTGACGGTAGATCATGGCTCCTATTTCAGTGTTCAAACCTCTGCATGTAAACACCACAAATAGCAATTATTTTACAGAGTTTTCTTTTAATTCGCTTGCGTTTTCTAACTGTTAATTATAAGCATAGTATAATTTGTACATTCAGCAACAATGCAATTATTCGCCACAGCAATAATGAGATTAGATTTGTAACATACCGCAGTAGATCACATAACAAGTGTAGTTTATATTAATTCTAAGAGAAATTTACTGTTATAAATAATTTGAAACGCACGTTGAATCAAAATACATAAAACATATTATTAAACCAATAGCTCGCTACTACCTATAGGAGACGAATGTCTATTTTTTTGTGTATATCTAGGACAGTAATGTTAAGTATCTCTAGTAGTGATAATGAGTATACACTTAATGTAGGTAAGTACGTCTTATTTAATAGTAAATTATAATTAGTGTGTTTAGTTGGTCATTACAGCCTAGCCCGAAAGAAATAATGAGCCGAGGACTGTAATGTACAGCTCACGCGTTTCATACCATGATGTTTATCAACCAACTTGCAAAAAAAAATTTTTTTAGTTTTTAAAACTCAAACTAGCGTTGTAGTTTTTTTAAACGTTTATTTTTCCATTTTATTTTAAGTGTATAATTAGCGATTACAATATTGGTTAAAATTCCAAAAAAATAATACCTAAATGAGACTCGCATTTAATTATGTATTTTTTTTCGATAACCAATAGAATTTTTACTTTTCTCTTTGTAAAGTGTCAAAACGACCATCATACATAACGTACCGCGACTATAGTGCGATAATGCAAAAATATAAACACAGTTTTGTAATAATTTCCATTGTGAACCTGAAAAAAGTGAAATAAGAAAGAACCACTACGAGCAAGTGTATTTACAAATATTTTACCCCAAATGTTATGATTTTTGTTTAACAGTAACACAGGCAAGTCTTATATGAAATTGGGGTGTGGAATCGTTTTTATACTTAAATAGATTTTATTATAATTGACATGTTATATTTATATTTTATTCTTCTTTTTATTTCGTTTAGGTACCTATTTTAAGATTTTAAGAGCGTAGAAAGCTGGGGAAGTTATTTTTAATAATTTTAAGTCTACGGCACTTTTAGTATTTCATCAAGTTGGTTAGGCGTAAGTTTTAAATGATATTATAGGCTTATAGGTAGTAATTTATTAAAGCTGTAAGATAAGAACACACCTATCTGCTCACCAAATAATAATAATAATTGGAAGGTAATTTTAATTGTTATTATTATAACTCATCCTCACTTATAAATTTAAAATCGTCTTTTTATATTAAATAGATCCACATCGAGATCAATTTCATAGTCAATTTCGAGTCTTGCTTTGACTATATTTGTATGTAAACGTAGGGCTATTAAGGTAATGGTGCACTTCAGTAGTATGCGAATTTATTATAGCAAAGAGCGAAGACCTGTTGTGATGCAAGAGCTTTTAAACCACTTAAATGTAAGTAATTTAAGATTAGACATCTCCATTATATCATGAATTATGAATCTTTTCAAAGGGCAAAACTTTCTATTGTCAGGGCGTATGCTTGTATTTTGAACGAGTTGAAAGAAAATTTCATGTGATGTAATTGTACATTACCAGCCCCCTAATTATCGGGGGCATGTGGTAGTAGTGTGTGAACTCATTGAATCATCACTCTTTATAAGAGTCTGTCGAATGACTTTGCTTTACTATCGGAATATTCAAACAGACTGCATAGGATATACGATGATAAATCGAGCAGTATGGTATTCAGTATTAAATTGTAAGCGTGGAAGTATATCAATTAAGTTAAGTTTAAGCATGCGCATATAATGACATTGTCATGCATGCCGCTTTCTCATGCCCTGTCCGCTTGCCAAACTGTCCAAGGCAGTGTTGGCAAGAACACAGCGTCACGCCATTCGTCGTAAATATTATGTAAGCGTCAATAGGCGTCGTCATTTTATTGGCGGTCGCCGATTTATTCATAAGCGGAGTAGGT